TTTGACACTTCTGCACTTGAGAGTAGACATCAATCTTTTAGTCGTGTCACTAAGCTTCACCTTCTGTTTATCTTCTTAATTTTAATTGTTGAACTTATCAATCAATCCTTTGATTTATGTGATAAACCTGTATTTAAGTTGAATATTTATCATAAATTAAATGTATCTTATAGTATCAGACTTGTTATTATAAAACATGCTTTAGTTAATGAGTTATTGATACTTCAAGTGCAAAATGCTGATATAAAACCTTGATAAAAATACACTTTTAATTACTAATAAAAAAGCACACTCGAAATAAAAAAATAAGATAGAAAATGAATTATCTGAAAGTTGAAGGCTATAAAGTGCACTCAGAAGAAAAAAAATAAGGTTATAAAGACATTATCTAAAAGGTGAGGGTTAGAAATCATATTCATAAAGAAATAATGCCAAAAGCACTCTCTAAAAGGGTTAAAAATGCATATTTCCTAATGACAAAGTTGAATTTGAGATTCTTGATGACAATGTTAAATTTCTTGGTGTTTCATAATTGTAGAGTTGATACATGTCTTTCCTCGTGGACTTCTTGAAGGCAAGGTTAAGTTTTTCTTTCTTAATGGTAGAGTTGGGACGAAGGATTCCTAATAATAAAGTTAAAATAGAAAGTTTTTGATGATAATGTTAAATTTGGAAATTTGTAATAACATGGTTAAAATTAGAGATTTTTTATAACAATGTTAAAATTGAAGATTCCTGATGATAAGATTGAAATTCTTAGTGTTTTCTAATCACACGACTAATACATGTCTTTTTTAATGAAAGTGTTAAATTTTCTGATAATAAAATTAAGATTTAGAATTTCTTATGATAAAGTTGAAAATAGAGATTTTTTAATTAGATGGTTAAATTTAAGATTTCTAATAATAAAGTTAAAATTATTTGTGTTTTTTGATTTTTAATTACAAGGTTGACATGTATCTTTTCTAATAGGGTTGAATTTTATTAAGAATTTTTTAATAAAATTCAATAATTTAAGATTAAATGATATTCATACATTCACATTCGAATGAAGTTTATAATTTTTAAAATGAGTTTTTGGTTTTTTTTTTCCCCGACCCTTCAGCTCATTCAGGTTTTTAACCGTATGGTTAATTTGTTTAATTGTCTTTTTATCACGTAATTTGCAACAAATAAATCTCTACTTAATTGACCATTTTTATTTGATAAATATTTTATTCATGATGTTGCTTTTTACTTGAATTATACTTTTAATTTTAATATTGCTATTAAAAATAAATCTTAAAAATAAAAAATATTAATTTATTAGATTTCCAAATAAAAAGCTGCAACCAAGTTTAACCCTAATGCCTTTTCTTTTCGTCCCTGTCCAATTTTATGAACACACACTTTGCTTTAAGCCTTTCTTTCTGTTCTGCATGAAAACTGAAACAACAACAAACTAAAAAAGGAAAGAAACGAAAAGAAACAACACTCTATTCTAAATCTACTGATAATCCAACAAAAAAAAAAACCTCCTCTTATTTCTTTATATTCTGATTCTGATTCTCATTCTCTCCTGTGTGAGACATAAAAACCTCACATTTATATTTTATTTTTCCTTGGAGAATTTTTTTCCAAAAGAAAGCAAAAATGAGATGGGAAAGGGTGCAGCAGCAGTTACAACAAGGGGTTGCAATAGAAGAGTTAAATGGACCAAGGAAGAGGTGGGGACACACTTGTAATTCGATTAAAGGAGGAAGATTTCTCTATGTTTTTGGTGGCTATGGAAAGGATAACTGCCAGACCAACCAAGTTCATGTCTTTGACACTGGTGAGTTATCACTTCTTCTACTTTCTTTCTCTTGTTTTTATTTTTCTCTGTATTTCTTGTCCACGTTATCTTTTAGTCTTTTGCAATTCTGGGTTTTCCTTTGGTGCTTGTACGGAATCTGGATTTTTTGTTTGATTGTTTTTGTTTATTGGGGATTTTGCGGATTTTCTTTTTGTTTCTTGGCATTAATTTTGTCTGTATTAAGTTTGGTGATGAGAGGAAATGTTATTACTGATGTTATTTTGCTTCCCCCCCCCCCCCCCCCC